ACTGAGGGTATTGATTATAACCACTGATGGAGACCACAGGAGCACAGTAACGACCCTCCTGTCTTCGTGTCTTCTTCAGCAGTGCCTGCACTGTGGCTGTAGGGGACAGATAGATTTCTGGGTCTGTTGAGGTCCTAAATACACCAGAAATCTTTAACAAAGCAAAGGGGCATACAGTAAAAACACTTTAACTATAAATCAATCACATCTGTAAAATCTTACAATTAATTCTAGTTCCTCAGACGCCACAGTGATGTCATTTTTGTGTTGGTTTTATTTCCCATAACTTTCTGTTGAACGTGCTACAGAAATACATTTGAGAAGACACACTTTTGTGACACACACAATTTGTTTAAGTAGTTTAATTTAATAATGTACATAGATTATTGATCTAAAGATTGACCAAACTTAGTATAGTATAGTATAGATCCTAATTGAAATCGCAGCCAATGTATCACATCTTTTCCCAAAATGGACAGATTTTTAGTTATTTATATTTACATTATTTTCTGAGGTGCTACAAATATCCAGAACCTCTTGTTATAATGGCAATATTGAGCATGATACCACAGGCAGCCGATGGGCTACACTCCCGGCTATTAGACGTATACTATACTATACTATACTATACACTTAAACTTATACTTACTTTTGCTGCTTAAACTGGATTAACTGACTCTAGAAAAATAAATGTATGCAACAAGATATTTTATTTTAGTGTATTTCTTTAATTTAGTCTTTGGTACTCCTCTCATTTCGTATCCTATTTCTATACTTTTATAAATCCTTTGTCATATTTACCACTGAACTTGTGTTTTAATACGTCATATTGTAAATCTGTAATGCTGCAGTAGGTTAGGGTTACTTGTGGGAGGAGAGTTTGTTAATATATCAAACTGTACTTTATATTTTTTTTTTTGCTTTATTTTTTAGAACCTAAAAAGCTAATAAAAATACTTTTAACAAAAAAAGACTTGATGAGAGGACAATTTCACATCGAGGTCCATTTAGTAGCATTCTGTAGCCTTCGATCACTCACTCGATATCCATTGATTGATATATTGATATCAGCAGATGGAGTTGTCGCGGAATTGCAGGTGCTTCAATTTCAGTTTTACTCCGAGCCGTAACTTTTAAGATCTTCTCGTCGATGTTGGCTTAAAAGCTGAGTTAATTTGACTCGACGTGATGGAATCATCTGTGAGTCGCACTGTTCTTGGTTCCTGCAGGTCAGATGAGAAGCTGGAGCTGCAGTGGACGCTGGAGGGACACCAGCTGGGAGTGGTGTCAGTGGACATCAGTCACAACGGAGCAATCGCTGCCTCCAGCTCCCTCGACGCTCACATCCGTCTCTGGGACCTGGAGTCAGGAAAACAGATCAAGTCCATGGACGCCGGGCCAGGTAAGATCAGGCCTCAGAGGATCATTGAGGTTTTTTATTGATTCATTTGTATTGGGTGGTAGGATATTGTGGCACCTGTTAACTTTATAAAATTAATGATCGATTAATTAAACTAGTGACTGACTCTAACATTCCCACTTATGAATTTTTATTTATTTTGTGTAAGATAAAACTAGTTGATGAATTGATTAGTTGGTCGACATATCATCAGAAACTACTTTGATTATTGATTAATCGTTCAAACATTTGACAGTTTTGATTCTCATTTGTGAGATTTTACTGTTTGTCTAATGTGATAGTAAACTGAATATCTTTAGGTTTTGGACCGTCGGTCAGACAAAACAAATTATTTGACGACAGCACATTGATCCCTGGGAAATTGTGTCGGTTTTCATTATTTTCGGACATTTTATGGAATGTTGTTGATTAATTGACGATAAAATTATTGTCAGAATAACTGATTTAGAAAACAATCCTTTCTTGTAGCCTTGTTGTACAGTTTTAGATGTTGTTAACAGACATTATTGATTATTTATGAGACTTTCCAGTAGCCATTTTTTGCAGGCATAGACAACTCCCTTAGTAGAGAATCCCTGATGCCTGTAAGCAGACTCGTGTCGAAGAAGTTGGCTCCTAAACTTCTGATAAAAAGATAGTTGGTTTGACCTTGTTACCGCTGTGTTGTGAGTGTTTCTTCGCTGCTTTTTTTTACTGTCTAGCACTTATTACAGTGGAATAAGGTCACCATAAAGGAAATTGGCTCCCAGTTCCGTATTAAAACGAACCTGCAGGGTTGACAGCTTGTCTGTTCTGCTTTGTAGCACAACAAGCTCCTTTTATTTTTTTCACTCTCACCTTTCAGGAACCCCACACCCTGAAATGTCTGTGTTGTTGTTGTGTATCTTGAACCGAGCTGTACTTCATCTAAATGCCATGTCACCTTCAATTAGTGACACTTGATTTCACTCAGTGGTTGGTCTGGGTCAGTGGATTAAAGTGTATATACTGTATGTTTGGATTCAGCCGAGAAAGATTTGAAATAAATGGAAACTACGGTGGCATTAATTATGTTGCGTTTGCTGTAGACGGCACTGTTAGAGGAATCAGTTTGATATATTCAACCCATCCCTCTGTCTCTTTGCTCTCCTGTCTAGTTGATGCATGGTCGGTTGCCTTCTCACCAGACTCTAAGTACATCGCCACAGGAAGCCATCTTGGCAAGGTCAACATCTTTGGTGTGGAAAGCGGCAAGAAGGAGTATTCTCTGGACACCAGAGGAAAATTCATCCTGAGTATAGCTTACGTAAGAAACCATAAATTGTCCTTCTGGTCGGCTGGGTGGTGGCTGAGACCTCAGCGTCATGGTTTTACAATAACTCCTCTTGATTTGTGTTTTTTGTTCTAACTCTTAACCCTTTCTCTCCAGGTCCAAAATTTGTTTTTAAAGGTTTTTTAGAACATTCATCCAGTGTCATGTCTTTGCATTTGGACATTGCCTTTATAATCTATAACCTTTTATTTTTCCCCTCAGAGCCCTGATGGAAAGTATTTGGCCAGTGGAGCCATCGATGGAATCATCAACATCTTTGACATCGCCACTGGAAAGCTGCTCCACACACTGGAAGGTGGGTTCAAATGTTGGGAACTGGTGCCGCAACTAGTGTTTGCTTTCATTTCCAATCATCCTGTAAATTATAATATTTTTTTACGGAGTAAGCATTTTTTTCAGAAAAGAGTCCGAAAATAGTTAAAAATGACCACCATACTTTCTCAGAGGTCAAAGTGATGTCTCGGATTGCTTGCTTTGCTTGACCAACGGTTGAAAACTCAGAGATATTCAATGTACAGTGATATAAAAGAGAGAATGCAGCAGATTTCCACATTATGAAAGCTGGTTTGCCTGGTAAATGCCTTTAAATCAAGTAGTCAGATTGAGGATCCTTCACTTTTCAAACAGACATGTTGAAACTGAGGCAGAGATCACTCACACCTAAGAAGTCCGTGAGGAAGCTTACTGAGTGACTGTTTCCTCTCTCCTCAGGTCACGCCATGCCCATCAGATCCCTCACTTTCTCCCCCGACTCCCAGCTCCTGGTCACAGCCTCCGACGACGGCTACATCAAAATCTATGACGTGTGAGTTCAGCTGGCAGCTTGTGGTGGATGCTCCTGCCAGTCAGTTTTGGCTCTTTTGATACGAAAAAAAAAGGGAGGGGAAGGGCGTCACTATGTTCCAGACAATTCACAAGCACATAAATAAACTACAGAAGGGGGAAAGAAAGGAGCCTTGGTTTGCTCTAATAAAGGTTGTTTTACAGGCAACATGCCAACCTGGCTGGCACGCTGAGCGGACATGGATCCTGGGTTCTCAACGTGGCCTTCTCCCCTGATAACACCCACTTTGTCTCGAGGTAAAATGCAACACCTCAGCTTTAAAACACCTTCAGGCTGAATAGTTTTCTGTCCAGACAGCACAAAGTTTGATTCTAAGATGAGCTGTAAAACATGTCAAATGTTCTCTCTCCTCTGCCGCCCTCAGCTCGTCTGACAAGAGCGTAAAGGTTTGGGACGCCAGCTCCAGAGCGTGTATCAACACTTTCTTCGACCACCAAGACCAGGTGACAAAGATAACGCCCAGCTCTTGACTGAGTGTGTTATAATTAAATGAAAAGTGAGAAAATCCATCTGCTGTAGGTGCTGATGTGTTGATGGGGGTAAATCAATATTGCCATTGTCACAGAGTGGCCTCTCACATGACCCTCATCTGATGCTTCAGTTCAGGCAAAACCAATAATCCCAGCTGTCATTAGATCCCCGGTTGCAGACGCCTGTGGGGAAGTTGATCTCTTCTCCAGAAAATTGAAATAGCACAGCTCCTCAGAGAGGAGATCAGAGGCGGCGGGCCCTGCCATATTGTTTCGTTTGTGTCATCGTGAAATAACCGCAAAACCAGAAACTCTACAGGGACAACGTGAAGCCAATGAAGGGTTCAGCTTTGCTTTGTTCTTTTATTTAGAGCATTTTTCTGTCTGCTTAGGTCATAGCTGTCTGTGCTGCTTGGTTTTTGATCAAATTAAAAGCAAATTGCATTTATTGATAATTAATGCAGCTATAACAGAACAAACTAATTCTGTGAGTGTATAAAAACATAATTCCAAAAATGTCCCTTTTAAAAGGGTTTAGTTTTTTTTCAAGCAAAGACAATTTCTTATACGTTTCAACGTCCCACCATTATTGTTTTTACTATCTGGGACATTTTGTTGTTGGTTGATTGATTCAACCTTGTTAATTCTGTAGCAGTTCTTGATAAAAAAAAAAAGGATGTGTGAGGACTCCTGCCTGTGTAAGTGATTTTACTTGTTGGTGTAATTTTTTTAGTCCCATTCACATCCTTCCTGTCCCTGTTGTCTTCAGGTGTGGAGTGTAAAGTACAACAGCACCGGCTCAAAGATCATCTCGGCTGGAGACGACCGCGCCATCCACATCTACGACTGCCCCATGTGATGGATGACGTCCAGTACAGGCTACATGAGGAGGGGACCTGCAGAGCTGTTAACTCAGATTATTGAAGTTGGTAAAAGTGGGAGGGAGGAGACAAGATGTAAATGTAAAACTTTTTTTTTTTTTTGCACTGGCCCACTATGGTCAAATAAAATAGTTTCTTTTGTACGTTTGTTTCTGCTGTATGTGTTGAGTTTATGGGCTGAGCCTTCGACATCTTGACATATCTTTTTCATGTCTGTGATCTGATTTGGTAACAGAATTATGTGTAGCATACAGTATAATTGTAAATTGGCATCTATTGGTATCAGATAAAATAGGCTATTTGGTATGCAGCCCTAAAACAGATAAAAGGCAGTTAAAGATTATCAACTAAATAAAATTGAATGTAAAAAGATATATTCAGCTTTAGAGCTCCTGTAACCTCCAATCAGCTGGTTAAAAAGAGAAAAGGTTTTATTTTTTTCCTTAAGGTTGAAGTGAATTAAACTCCTTTTTCATCTTCGTTTTCCTTGTTTTAGGTCTTATTATGTTAGCCATCCATTTAGTTATAGTTCTGGCTTGTCTGATAACCTGTTACTTTACTATTAAACCTTTCTCTGAGTTTTTCTGAGTGTTTGAGAAATCAATAATCAGAACAGTTTAGTTTTAACCCTAATGCCATGTATGTAGTGTTTGTAGGTGTGACAGAAAACCAACCAACTAGGGAGGTTCCAGCGGGAGCTCAGGAGATAAAATATGGTCAAGTGCTCCCTCCAGTGGTCCAGCAGGAGCACTGCAGCCTCACACAGATGTCACCGTGGAGCTTTTTAGAAAGATATCTTTATAATGAACATTTGATAAAAGTACTTACTGACTGCTGCAGTGATTCAGAAGTCTTTATTACATTTCATCAAAGATCCACAAGTTTTGTATGTTTAAAACATCCAACTGTACTTTTAACAATTCTTTGATATTACACACAGAGCAGGTAGGTGGTAAATATAGGTGTAGCACTTCCTCCATAAAAAAGGTCCATTAAATTGGCTTTTTCGGAAATTAAATCACATTCAGTTCAGAAACTGGCGGAAGTTCTCTTGAACATCGAGTTGTACAAAAAAAAGAAACGTCACTGAGATGTGTTTCCTGGCAGTAATAGTCATTTCCAATCATGGCTGCATCTTCTCCAACTGCATTTCATGCCCAACATTACATTAGTCCCGTTGATGTACCTCACACTCATTAAGTGCAACCTGAAGGCAACTCTGGAGTTTAGTTGTGTCTGCTGGTGTTGATGTATGTTAGCAGAATAGCCCAGTGGTTTAAGTTTCTGCCCTGTAACCAAATGATGCCAGATTTGATGCCTGGTCATCCCTTACATTATGAATAATATACAGAACACAACAGTAGTAGTGGCCCATGAGGAACATACTGGATTCCCACCTTAATGAGCTCTAAAGCTTGTAACATGAAGTTCACACCTCCTCGGCTACATCTCATCTTTCTCATCGTTTCTGTCGAGCTCCACGTTGTCGTGTACAGTCCATTTACGCAGACGGGAACGAAAAGAAGCAAAAACACCTGCCTGATTGGCCCGATCAACTTATCTATACATAGAATTCATCGTTATACCTGCAACAGTGACTTCACAAATAAATCACGGGACACAGCTACATACAGTACAGAAAGCCTTTAAGGTTGAACTACACTAACGTGGGCCAGGTTTCACAGAGACCTCTTGAGATGAACCGAATATTTGTTGTCCTGTAAGTAAACAGAACATCAAACACGTTATAAAGATACTTTTGGAAGTCTTAATTATCACACTGAACTCATTTCTTCTGTACAGTTTAACAACATTGCTATTGTGGTGGGATATTCTTTTACCTTTACACTATAATTAACATCTTATACTCATTTAGGGCATAGACTGAAGGTGAGAATCTTAGCAGGTGTCTCACACCTCTGCACAAGATTTTCTTTTCACTGGAATGCACACAGATATCAAGGTTTTCTGCTCTTGACGTGCTCAATAGGACAAACAAGGCATTCGGTCTCCGAAGTTTGGCACGTGGAAAACTAACAATGGCCTTGTCACAAATTCTCTTTAAAATACATATTGTGATTTACTGCAGAGTAGCTGTTTTAAAAAAAACTGAACCCAGCAAAAGTGTTCACACGTTTGCATCTGTGCAGTTAAAGTATGACACGGTAAAAAAAAAACTACATGTCCAGGTATAAAAAATACACTGGTACAGTCATTCCATATTGTTAAAATATACAGTACATGAGGCTTTAATCAAAAAAGGTCTTGAGTTATCTACAATCCTTTGAAGGGGAGACTTCGTGTTTTTTTTTTTCCAATTTGGTTTTGGCAAAATGCACTTAAAGCTATATATTTCACAGTAACAGTTTAGCAAAGAAAAAAAGGCCAGTAGAAATGGGTTTGCGCAGAAAAAAAAGCAAGGTGATAACACCTGCAACTCCCAAATGTATCTAAAGACAAACACTGCCGCTGCATCGTACCTACATTGAGACAGCACTGATCTAAAAGGCCTGTGGTAGCAGCTACACAGCTGAGCCGTTACCCCGGAGACTGCACACAGATCTGGCTCATTATCTCCAATGTGAAAAGTTCCTGCCTGGCTGTGTTGAGGTGAAGCCTGGCACGAGGCTGTCCTGGTTTCCTCTGGCCTCTCACCAGTGTCTGGTCTCGATCAAATCAGCTCGCAGGCTCAGTCTCTTCAGAGTCTCATATCCCACCACAATGAGCACCGACGTGGGCATGGAGGAAATGATGCGGGCCGACAGCCCCTTGGTCATCCCCCAGACGCCCTCCTCGGCCAGCAGCTGCTTGAACGTCTCGATAACAGACGATCGTCCCTCCACCTTTGACAGACAGGAGAGTGTTAAATCATCTTGTTATTGTTCACTGTTGACCTTGGTAAAAAAAAACCCACCACTTTTTATTTTATTTTTTAGATAAATCACGTGATGATCAAAAGCTCCAGAACAGCTACTAAATGGACCTCATAGTAAGACTGTATTGTCAAGTGCTGTTTCCAAGGTCAAGAATTAACTTTACATTTTAAAAGGTGTAAAGTTTGTCTCCTGAGGTCAGAGGCAGGATCCAATTTAAGCAAAGTTCTGCTATTTTTGTTCCAAATGTATGAGCACTAAATGAAATGAAGTGATGTGTCAAGAAAGTAAAACCAATAACACCAGTAGAATCTACAAAAACATCACGTGATGTCTGAGACACACACACACACAC